AGCTGTCTTCTGGCTGGTCAGGAGCTGAGGAGAAGCTATCATTGCTTGTTGAGGTGGCCAGGAAGGATCAGCCCTTGGTAAAACCCTGCTGTGTGCCTCTTGGGTGCTCCACTGGGTTTTCCAGCGTCCCCATTGCTGTGGCCTCACTGGTGCTGTGTGCAAGGAGAAACCCCAACTCTCTTGGTCACCTCCCACCCTCAGGAGCTGTATTGCAGAGCCCTTGCTGAGCTGACTGACCCCAAGGAGGAGAACAAATACATTCCCATTAAAAATGGCATTTTTTTGAGTTTTCTCATTAGAACAGCTTAGGTGGAAGGTGGCCCCTGGAGGTCACTGGGTCAGACCTCTGCTCAGAGCAGGGCCAGCTTGTGAGTTAGCCCCAACTTGAAGGTTTTCCTTATCTTCCCTTCAATAAATCACAGGAGGATGAAGGAGCTGAGGGACAGGGTGCTTCTCCTGCTGCTCTCACCAGGCAGCCCCAGAGCCTGGGATGGGGTCACCTCCCTCCTCATCCTCTTGCTGATTTGCATCGTGTGGTAATGTCACTTCTGTTTCAAGTCCTGTGTCCTCTCTGGTGGGGATCAGAAGCACTTCTTCAGCTGATGCTTGTTTATAGAGAGTGGTTCTGTCAGGATGGGACCAGAGATGAGAATAAACTGAATGTTACAACCCTGCAAACTATGGGCTGAGCTGGGGGGTGTGGAGCTGAGCCACCTGGGATGAGGGATCAGGATTTCCAGGCAGAGTGGCCTTGTGTGAGGCTTCCCGAAATTATGGGGAAGTTGGAGCCATCCCCCTTCCCTCAGCAGGAGTGGATTTGAGGGAGGAGTTTTAATGGCCAAATGCAGATGGCAACTTTGCATGGGGATGTTAGTGCCCAGCTCTGCTGTAATGGAAAGGAAAAGGCAGGGAGGGGGGATTTCAGTGCACTTAAGTGGAAGCAAATGACAAAAATCACACCAAAGGCAGGAAAATCAGTAAAATGACATTTTGGCACAAAAGGCAGAGTAAAACTAATTAAATATTTAATGCTTGGAAGAGGCACTGGCACCTCTCAAGTGTGATAAAGATGGAAATAGTTGTCATCATCAGCTTCAGCATCTGGACAAACCTGTTTGCCTCCCCCTGTCCTGTTGCAGCCAGCCCTGGTCTGGCCTCGGGGATGTCACCCTGGGTCACACGTGGCCTCAGGGACATCACCCTGGCTCCTGGCTGGCAGATGGGGGCTCGGA